TAATGGATTCCATTATTTTGGAGAACAAGGAGGTGATGGCAATAGGGCTGTAGTTGGACGCGTCTGAGCGGTCGCCTTTTTAGGGATCGGGTGGACCAAAGCTGTCTTCCATGAATTCGGGACTCCGCCTTGGGAGTAGGAGTATCGGAAAAGACGCGTTAAACCGGTGCCAACTCCGGAGCACACGTCTTCATCACAATAAGAGGGACTCCATCGGGCCCACTCGACTTGCTGACGTCCAGGGAGAAGAGTGCTTTGCGAACCGAGCGCTGTGCAAACCGAACATCCGGCATGGAGCACTCACATCGCGGGATGGTCGGCGGTGTGTTCCTCCCGTCATCTAGAGTCGAGTTGGACGCAAAAAGAGAGCTCAACAGATCGGCTTTCTCCTTTGCGGCATTGGCCAGTGAGTCGCCCTCCCTGTGCAGAGATGGAAGAGATGGCTGACAGAAGTTCCCTTGGACAGCCTTGGCGAGAGACCAGAATGCACGGGTTCCCGAAGGAAGGCGAACTAGCTTCTCGCCAATTCTGCCGATGTGCTCAGACCTTGCCTTGGCAATGACGCTTTTGAAGGACCTGGAGGCGGAATTATACTTCTTTTTAAGTGCGCTGGTGTTTACATCCCGAGACGTTGATGCGTCAGCCCAGGCCCGGTAGCACTCCTGCTTATAGCGTGATGCTATTTTACAGGAGCGACCAAACCATGGCTGGGATCTGCCTCCGATGGGCACCACATAGGATGGAATAAAAAGTTCCATACCCTGAAGCACCACATCAGCAACAGAATCGGTAACAACGCTGGGATCTTCCGGCGAGAAGCAAACCCGACCCCAAGGGTACGATGCAAAAAAAGACCGCATCCCGTCCCAATCAGCTGACCTATAGTGCCAAACACGGCGGCAAGCTGCAGACCGCAACTGCGATTGGAGCGTGCGTGGCACCGTACTCCGGATCAGACAATGGTCCGAAGAGCCCAGAGGGGCATCGACGGAGACCTGATATCCGTCCGGATGAGAGGTCAGCAGAAGGTCCAACAGGGAAGGTACATGGTCTTCCACATCTGGGATCCGCGTAGGCGAAGTAACCAGTTGTGTTAGACCATATGCCAAAGCAAAGTCATAGACAGATCTACCCGCATGATCGGTTAAACGAGAACCAAGCCATTCAGCGTGGTGGGCGTTAAAATCACTGAGTATCACGATCTCTGCGGATGGGACCTGTTGTAGCACGGAGTCTGCAGCCATTTGGACGTGGTCGATGAGTCGGTCTGTGTCGGCATTACCGCTATGGGACCTATAGAGGCACCCGTAGACGCAGGGATGGTCGTCGCTGTCTACGCGCAGCCATAGGATGGACAGGTCCGTACCTTCAAGACTGCCGAGGCGTCGAAAACAGATGTCCTCTCTGACGTATACGCAAACTCCAGCCCGGGGCACAAAGGAGTGTTCCAATTTGTACCCCGGGTAGGATAGATATGAAGTATGAGCCGGAGAGGACACCTGAGTCTCGGTTAAAAAGAGCAAGGCCGGCTTCGCCGTCTCTAGATGGTAATGGACAGCGTTAAGGTTGGAATGAAGTCCCCTGATGTTGCAAAAATTCACGGATAGCGTGACAGGGGTCGCCTTGGTTGTATTGCTCCGCTTGCCCCGAGCAGCATTAGTCGCGGGCGGAATTTTGCCCCCTCCCCCCCCAGAATACGCGGGGCAGCCTGAGCACCCACGCTCAGGAGTGAAGTAGTTTGGTCGTGGATGCTCAGCGAGGGATTCTCCAGGGGTGCTGGTACCCTCCTGGGGTAGTTTTTTATTTAATTCCACTACCATGTTGATGGAGGGGGGGGGAATTGGGCCACCGGCCACCTGCACTCACCACCACCACCCCGGTTCGAGCTGGCCCATCCGTGCGACAGCAAAAGCTACCGCTTAGCTCTACCACTGTTCATCAACTATCTACCAGTGAAAGTCCTGTCAAAATAGGTCCTTACATTTCGGAGATTAGCTCGAACAAACAGACAGACAGACAGATAGATAGACAGACGGACAGACTAAAATTTTAAAAGTTGGTTTTTTGTTGTAAGTACCTTATATAGGTTTTTTTTATAAATTAAAAGTAACGAACTAGCACACATACCATCTGATTGTAAGTGTAAGCTGTAGCCCATAGACAACTATATTTATCCTCGATTAAGAAACAAAGTTCAGATGTGTTGTCACTCCAGAGGATTACGATGGAATTTATTTATTTATTGGATGGATGTACACAACAGTTTATATTCATTTTTACGTAACATAAATACCTAATATATATACAAAGTTTCGACCTGGAATACAAACCAAAAACACGTACCTACATACAGTTGCAACATGCATGATACGTAAGCATATTACATTTCAATTTTATATATTTGTACAGATGTGTGTGACGGTCACAAAAGGTGAAAATTTCACAGATATACTGTGATAAAACTCTTTCGATAAAACATAAAGAACACTTACGTAACGGAAGGTATTCTTCATTCCTTTTCACAAGCCTGTTAACAGACTTTTGCTGACTATGAGTTTTTCTATATTTTAGAGGTTCCTGCTGGATGGTTTAAGAATATCGACTATCCCAGTTCCGTGGGTGTCTTACGACGAGAGAGGAAAAGAGGGAGACACAGGTAGGGTTGCCATCTGTCCGGCTTTAGCCATGTCATGGACATGTTTGGCTATTTCGGGTTGTGTCCGGCCTGTCCGGCTTTTGTTAGGCTTTTTGTTAGTGTAACGCGTTGCACACAAATTGTCGCTTGGTTGTTGTTGAGTTGGAGTTGGTGAGGTTTTTGGCTGCATGGCCTCATAAAGGTATGTTTGGCTTTCTAAAAATTACTGTCCGATTTTTAAAGTCCGGCTTTTTGGAGCGCCGAGTCCGGCTTTTTCATTTTAGGAGATGGCAACCCTAGACACAGGGAAACAAACAAGAGATGGGCAGCAGTGTCTTATTAATAACAACTAAAAAATAAAATTAAATACGATTGCAAACTCGCCTGCCAATCGTGGTAGCTATGGCAAATATCCCCCTGATGAAGCAATTTAAGGGTAGGCCTATGTTCAGCAGTGGACTTCTATAGACTATTGTAGTTGTGGTTCTTCGCCAAATTCGCAGTAACAGCCCGGAGTCAGGAAGTTGACTGTGTTTCACTCCCATGTCTCGAAAAGCACGTAAAGCCGTTGCTCCTGCGCCAGATCTCTCACTGTTCGTGTCGTAAAACAGTCCCATCGGTCTATGAGAGCGAAGGTATAGAGCATACACTCGTACACCACCGTGACCGAAATTCGGCGTGGAGAACATTATCTGTTTACTAGAACAGATACCGCGAATAAAATCTGTGCGGCAGTGCAGGCCGCGTGGTTGAATGCACAGAGTAGCAGCACAGAGTACAGAGTAAGTACTCGTATGATTGAGACTGCGTGCTATAACGCGTGTTGCAAACAATCAAATCTCAGCGTCCGTTCTATTCTTTATCAGAGTCAAAATCTAAACCTTTAATTCAAATTAGACTTCTCTAAAGCTCTTAAGGACTTCAGAATTTACAACATTCTTGTTCATGTTATGCTTGATGTAACTTTAGACAAGGTTTTAGCGTTAATTAAGCTAATTTGGCAAAAATATTTTTTATTAAACATTGAATCATTCTTTGTAAAAGTGGCCACCACTTGGCAAACTGTTGGGCAAACATCACCAACATGCGATAACCAAGCTGATAAAAGGATAATGACAAAAGATAAAAGGTTAATGAATGGAAAGTATTGCTGGCAATGTATACCTAAATAGTTCAGGGTCGAGAGTGATGATAAATCACATGGCTGCGGTCAGAGTACCTGACTGGGTCGTAAGTTTGAATCCCTGTGTACACAACACGCACGGTACAAATTGTTATACAAATAAATATAGAATAAGGGCGATAAACGAACACACAGTCCACCTGATGGTAAGCGGAATGTTTTATACGTGATAGAACCATGCTGCAGCTATATTACTGGTACAGTTGTAGCACGAATAGGTTGGCTCCACTGGGGAGGGACCACGCTCTCACAGAATACCAGCGAAAAATAGCAGCTTAATGCTACTGTGTTTTGTATGGTGAGTGTAGAGAACCGGATACCCTTTTTACTGCAAACGAGGCATTCCGTCTTAGACCTCAAATATGACAACGCGCCTACATTTTGATTCGTAATCGAGGATAGATGTAGATGGGTCACAGCAACCGCTTACCATCAGGTGGACTGTGTGCTCGTTTATCACTCTTGTTCTATAAAAAAATTCGTCCACAGCTAAACTACAAATGCCACAAAGCACGGTCTCGAGCCACATGTATCCAATGACTTACGTATACTTCGCTTACTGGTACGAGGCTGCCACTAGAGAACCTCTTTTCCAGCACCTAGTGAAGTAGCATTTAAAAACAGTCTTTTGTATAGAATAAGGGTAGAGGATAATAGCTGCAGCATGGCTTTAGCGCACAGTCCACTTTATGTTATGTGGGTGCTATGGAGCATATACATCTATATTTATTTTTGATTAAAAATCATATTACCAGTTCGTTACCAGTAAAAAGTTTGTTTTTATTTTTACACAACTGCAAATGTCACCACATAATATTATGTCAAAAAATTTAGAGCGTACTTGAGCTTTTATTTAGTTAATTAAATCAAAACACTATTATCGTATCTTTATTATCCAAATGCAAAACAGGCATTTCACAGTAGTTCAGTGGTACAAATGTGTATGTATTAGTATATTGCATGGTACAGATCACAGAGTACTTTGAATAATCAGAAAGTACAGATGTTTTTTGGAATCATGGATTATGGTATACAATTTTGTGTTGACAATAGCTTGACATGACATTCGGGCGCTGCCTGCCGGCAGGTACGGACGTAGGTCCTGTGAATTTTAATTCGCTTAAAATATTACAACAGAGTTGTGCATCTTTTTCGCGTCGCGTCCTCTCGTAATTTATAGAGATGCAGTTGATATTTAAATTAATTTTGTTTTGTCTGTGTGTTCAAGTAACTTTTTGCAATACGGTGAGTTCGACTTATTGTTTTTTTACCTGCTTTCTTTAGAATATTCTTCTTAGGTGTTGTAAAATAGATCCGAGAGGTAAGTTTGAAACAAAAAAACTTTTCAAAAATTTGTCTAAATTTAATCTTTACGGGGGTTTGATGAGTTCTAAACAGCGTAAAGTATTTGACTAAAAAAACCTGGTGCTATCCCAAAACCATAGTAATAAATACAACCCGTAAGTTTTATTCAGTACTGGAAAACTAACATAAAAATATATATAAATCGTTTTAGTACAGCTATTTTTTCTTTGTTGATAAATAACGTGTAGTTGTAGTGTCCACAACTTTTTTCCTTTTTTTAGGATTTTTTACGTACGTCCTAAGAATATAGGAGAATTTATTTTAAAAACGTGTATTCTATCGGACATTATTAAATTTTACTGGTATTCCCATGAAGTAAGGTTTAAGGAAAATGGATTCTCATAATATAACGTCAATTCAAGAGAATAGTAGTTAACAATATTGATAGACTAAATATTAGTAATTTATTGGCGTATATTTATAAACTTTATTCAAAAAATTAAGGTTTTGTTTCTGAAAATAATTTGTGTGGTATTGTATGAAGGGGTACTATTTGTACCATTGACCGTGGTAGCTCAGATAACCCGGGTTCGATCCCCGCCGGCAGCAATGAAATTGTTAATTGCAATTTTAAGTGCTGATTTACTACGTGTTCGGCGGTGAAGGAAAACATCGTGAGGAAACCTGCATGTCTGAAAAATAAGAAAAAAAAATATTTCGAAGACATGTGAAGTTCGCCAACACACATTGGGGCAGCGCGGCGGACATTTCCTTGCCCTAAAACCCTCTCAGAAATGAGAGGAGGCCTGTGCCCAGCAGTGGGACGTAAATAGGCTGCAACTTTACTTTTTTTTACTTTTTACTATTTGTAATATTTTGCAGCGATATAACGACATAAATTCAGAATTAAAATTGCAACAAGCGGCTTCTGCAGTCCGTGGCCACCTGCTGCAATCAATTTCAAACAAATAAGACTAATAATGTATTGTAACATAAAAAAGATTGTCTCACAAATAATATAGTCTATGAGCTCACCAAACTGTTCAGCGAATTGAACGTTCTTCACACCGTGCAGTGGCGGTGTAAGAATACCTACTACCCCATATCGTACCGAGGGTGTCGTAAGAGGCGACAGAGGGAAAATGAAACAGGAGATGGACAGCAGCATCTTCCCGATAACAACTCTAAATTGTAGAAACTGCAGTTACGCCTACCAGGCTTTGTGACTAAGGCAAATTCTCTCCTATGAAGCAATCTATGGGGGCGGCCTATATTCAGTAATGGAGTTTCTAAAAGTGTTGGTGATGAAGCCCTAAATGATAAATCTTATTATCTCAGCGTAACAAAACTCCTTTCTCACTCTTGTCTTGAAGGCGCCCAGATTGTAATCGGGCAAAGATATGTCACATAATCCACTCCTTTGCTGTACGCTGATCGAAGCTGTACGCATTGCGAAAGACGAAACAAACCGTTTGATTCGAATGCGTGGAATGTCAACTACAAAGGGACAAAGGCAGTAGACTTTTTCTATAAAATGTGTATAACACCCAGGTCATATTAAGTAACCACCGTCGCCCATCAATATCTTCAACACAAGGGAATGGCAGGTGCGTTGGAGACCTTTGGGAAAGGAGTAGAATTTTTTTTGAAGGGAGGATGAATGATGTCGATTTCAAAAATCTGGTGGCATTAGTAAATTCCATTAAAGCTGTCGTGGCAAGAAGACCACCCAGTGGTGTATTTCTAGCTATCTTTATCATGTAGATAGTATTAAGAAATATGCTACAATGAACGATAGTGAAATTTGAAGGCTGAATTAATCTGAATTATTTCGAGCACGTCCTGGGCACGGGTGTCTTCTCATTTCTGAGAGGGTTTTAAAGGCAAGGAAATTCCGCCAACACGCATTACGGCAGCTTGTTGACGGTATTCACATGTCTCCGAAATATTTTTTTTCTCAATCATGCAGGTTTATTTACGATGTTTTATTTTACCGCTGAGCACGTTTTATACGTGGTAGAGCCATGCTGCAGCTATATTAATTGTATAGTTGTAGCACGAATGGGTTAGCTCGACCAGGGAAGGACCACGCTCTCAGAATATACCAGAAAAATAACAGCTTTACTCTCCTGTGTTTCGTATGCTGAGTGTAGAGAACCGGAGACCCTTTTTACTGGAAAAGAGGCATTCCATCTTAGTCCGCACGGTTGACAACGAATCTGCGTTTTGATTCGTAATCGAGGATAGATGTAGATATCTATGGGCCACAGCAACTACTTAACATCAGGTGGACTCTGTGCCCGTTTGTCAACCTTATCCCGTAAAAAAATGTGATTAATCAGCACTTAAAATTTCAATTAATAATTTCATTGGTTCCGGCGGGCATTGAACTCGAGTTGCTCGGATAATATTTACGCTGAGCGCATAGCCACTGAGCTACCACGGCCTATGGCCTACTTCGAGGTTGTGAATTAGAAATTACTTGGATCATTTAATTATAAGCACCTCAAAAGATTTGAATATATTATATTATTATGAATTACCATTTACGTTAGCCCAGAGTGTATTATATGGAATTATCTTTTAAGACATGCATGATAACTTTTTAATTAGAAAAAGACTCCTTTACAATTGTGAATCTAGCAAGTGGTAAAATTTAAAATTTGTTCAATTGACTTCATTATAAATAAAATAAGAACATCATCAATGTAGTCGAAGTCAATTAAATATTATAATTATTAAGGATAACTCAAAAACTACTGGTCAGATCTTGATGAAATTTATATGGGATCACATGAAAAGCACTATAACAAATTAAAAAAAAATCATCAGAATCGGTTAATCGGTAACAAATTAAAAAAAATACAGTATAATTGAGAACCTCCTCTTTTTTGAAGTCGGTTGAAAAGATCCTAATAACGATGATCTACGTGAACATGGTGATTATTGTTGTGGGTGAGTTTGTTAGTATGTGCTACTTTAATTTTAGCATTATTTTAACTTAATCAGAGTCCTATGTATTAATCGGTGTTAACGGTGTCAGTCAATGTTCTTGGTTCCTGCGATACAAGCCTAGAGCTTAGTGCAGAAACCAGTGTATTGTTTAATTATGTAATGTCTTTTTGGTTGAATAAATATAGTGTACGTGGTAGAGCCATGCTGCAGCTATATTAGTAGTATAGTTGTAGCACGAAAGGGTCGGCTCGACCGAGGAAGGACCACGCTCTCACAGAAAACCAGCGTAAAATAGCAGCTTAAAGCTGCTGTGTTTCGTATGGTGAGTGTAGAGAACCGGTGACCCTTTTTACTGGCAAAGAGGCATTCCATCTTAGTCCTCACGGGTGACAACGCATCTGCATCTTGAGTCTTTATTGATGATAGATGTAGATGTCTATGGGTTACAGTAACCACTTACCATCAGGTAGACTGTGTGCTCGTTTGTCACCCTATCCTACAAAAAAATATTCTATTTCTTTTATCTATGTATATCTAGATTGTTTTTATTATTCTTAGATCCTTAGCCGTTGACACTTATTATCTTTAGATTCTTCCATTACGATTGTTCATCCTTCTGCCCTAACACAAGTAACTAGAACTAGTTATTTGTTAATAGATTGTTTATTTGGAGTATAATAACTGTGCAAACAGCAATTAATGTCATTAAAAATCCATAGACTAACGACGTTGAGAAGTGGTAATGTTGGGACACTTGGATCACTATTACCCTGCCAAGCGTGTTGATTATGGAAAAATCCTCGCAAATATTTAGTATAATATAGTAGTGATGAAGAAGTGAGGATGATTAATTTTGGACATTTTCTATAACTATGTAATCCTAGGTGTTACTTACTTACTTCATATGGGAGGTGATTCTTTCGATTGTTTTCTTTTTAGGGTCTTTTTTAACCCAAAATAATAGTCTTAGTAATAGTGTCCCCTATTACAAAGTCTCCGCTGTCCGTCCATCTGTCTGTCAGTGGGCTGTATCTCATGATCCGTAATAGGTAGGCAGTTGAAATTTTCACAGAATGTGCCGATATAACTACAAATAATAAAAATAAAAAATAAATTAAAAATTAAAGGGGGCTCCCCTACTAGAAACGTGTATTACGATGGTACAGAAACCCTTTATACGCGGGTTCGATCTGCACTTGGTCGGTTTTTTAAAGTATTAACATTGATTTTTACTCATAAATAGAGTATTTATAGTAGTCCCATAGAGAATCAACCAAATTCATTGATAACAGAAGTCGATTTTAATCTTTATAAAATAATTTCTATTTAGAAAACTAAGAAAAATACACAACGATATTTTCATTGTTTCGTTGTAAGCGACGTTTGCTTAATAGATTTCATGTCTCGTAGACTGATAGATATTATTGAAGGATGTGGGTATAAATCAAGCATAAATCAAATGGAGCAATTGATAACGTGTAGTTTTCCAGTCGTCCAACGATTTACGAAGTATGAATTAGGTATGTAACGATTTCTTATGAGCTTATGGGAATAATATATTTATGACAAATGTAGGTACCTTATTGCATCGTCTTCAATAGTCCATTAGACAGTTTTCAATGTTGTATATGATCGTGTTATTTTAATCACCTTAAACTACCACTATCATGTCGTAAGAGGTGACAGAGAGAAACATAATTTAAAATTATAAACTTTGTACAACCGACTTTAATATAAAGTATTAAGAATAACTCAAACACTTTTGGTCAGACCTTAAGCAAATTTATATGAGACCACATGTAAAGCACCAGCTTTCAATTAAAAAAAGAATCATCGAAATCGGTTCACCCAGTAAGAAATTATGAGGTAACACACATAAAAAAGAACATACAGTCGAATTGAGTACAGTCTCCTTTTTGAAGTCGGAAGGAAAATAGGAGCTGAGTAGCAGCACCGTCCTAATAACTACTAAAATAAAAATAAAA